CGCAACGATGGGCGTGAAAGCGACTTGCGAGTCGAATTTAATAATAATGTAATTTAGCTCAGCGTCGCCGCGACCGCAGGATATCGTAAAGGGCACCGAGAAGCAAAGGTTTGCCAGCGATTCATTTTTCGGATATCAAAAGCGGACGTGGAAGGATCGGACGACGTCTAGTTAACCTCACTCCGCTCGTCCCTTTTGCAGGTCGCGAACATATTCCGGCATAACCGCGCGGCGATATCCAGAAGAAATACGGCTCGCCTCGAAGCGGCCGTCTCGGGCCATAAACAAGAAGTCGCCTCGAGTTGTACAACGAGATGTCGCCGAGTTACCGATGTCCCTTTACTCCTCTCTTTTTGCCCCTTCGTTCCCTTTTTCCCGGCGGCCGCTCCCAACGTGCGCCACGGTCCGTAAATCACGCGTCGTCGGTAACTTTTAAGTCCCTCTTCAGGTATCGATCTCGAAAGACGACCGAGCGTCCCTCGATCGACAAGGTCGTATCGCCGCGAGCAAAATGAACGACTTATCGTCCATTTACCCGGAACGACCCCTCGCCTCGGTCGTTTTCTCACTTTTTGGCCAACGCCTCCTCCGTTTCCCGAGTCGATACAGGTTATAGCGAGTGGTGAGTACGGATACTTATCGTTAGCGCGGGACCGATTCTCTTATTCGCCGTTGCTTTCCCTCCGCCCTGCGCAATGAGCGAGGATTTAATTGCCCTCGGGCATTCGGTGTTGAACGGCTCGTTAATCCGGGGGGATATTCGGTTACACGGTTCTTCCCGGGTAAATTAGACAATGTACCCGGTACGCGTTCTCGCGCCCGCCGCGAAGGCCTACCGCCGGGATTAGTTTCAAGACGGAAATCGTAAAGTGTCCTCGGAACGAGACATTCGCGGGAATCCGCGGAGAGGAACGGACCACCGCGGGCGCAGACGCGGAACAAGCGCAAAATGAGCACGAAAGAATGCCCGACGTGCCGTTAGCGCACGCGTGTAGTTACAAATTACGCTTACCGCTACGTGGTCGGCGTGGGTGGCGAGGGAGGCTAGGGGACCCATCTTAAATTACGCGCGCCGCCATCTTGGTCCCGAGGGTGGCGTCCCCCGGACTCCTCGAAACGCGAAATGAATTTATAAAAACCGTCATTCCGGATAAGGAACTGCGATCTCAGTGGCAAAAAATCATCGGCGTTAAAACGGCCGAAAGAGAGGGAATCGAAGAAGGAAGGATCGTCGACGGTCGAAGCGGGAAAAACATCCGGTTAACTTCCGTCGCGTAGACGCGGAGTACTCTTAGGAAATCTACCCAACGTAATTTGCGGAAACGAAGACCAGCATTCGTAAATCAACCGGCGCCGTCGACGCGTCTCCATCAATCTTCTCGCGTCCAGGAAGACATAATGGTTCATAACTCGCGGTACTTAAGAGCACATTTCGGAACACGCCCAGCACTCGTCGCCCTCGATGACCATCCCAAGATGTCGGCGGGGCGGCGCGAGGTTGCGCTAAAATATCCACGTGGAAGTTCATAAACTTTGCGTTTTGAGTTTCGGAGGGAAACACCGATAACCGACGGCGTCGGAAGTTCCGGCTGACACCGCCTCCAATTATTTTCGGTTTCCGTCCCGGACGGACTCCTTCGACGCGCCATCGCCTCAGGTGGGTGATGGATTTATGTGCGCGTAATTGAGGGGTGGCGAAGGGAAAGGCTCCCAAAAAGGGGAGATTGCCGACCTCGATCGTCTCGAGTCATCCCGAGTTTATCCAGCAATTAAGTTAGGTCCCACTTTGCGAGTCCGACCTCTCTTCCGGGTCGCCATCTTGGAAATATTACCGATAGCAAAGGTGGGTCATAACTCATCTCTATTGGCGCAAGGTGGGAAGTTGTCCCGCCACTTCGAATTCTCGTTATTTGCCGACAAATTCCGTCCTACGTACCCTTTCCGTCGAAGCCGCGGAAACGACTCGCGTTAACAAATCGCGAAAGAGTTCGCCGCGTCCCTCCTCTCCTATCTGGCGTTCTTTTCGCATCGGCACAACAATGGGTCGTGAGCGATAGGAACGTTTAATCTAGGTCCACGTTTAACCCGGATTAACGACGCAAAACGGGGGTCGAAACGATCGAATTGAGTTACGGCGAGACAGCTGCAGCCGCGAACGCGTCTTGCGCCTTTTGTCCGGTCATTTCGGGCCAAGAACCGCGAGACGTCGTTGGTAGCATAAACGATTACCGGATCGACGTAAAAGCGGCGGAAATAATTCCCCGTGTAGATGCAACGCTGTTAAATTAATTGCGTTATGACAAACGGGGGATCGTGCACCGATTGTCCGATAAGTGTAACGATGGTGCGCGGGTGGCGTAACGACCCAACCGTAATTACGGGTTAATTTAATAACGCGAGGGGTTGGTCGGATTTGAGGCGTTAAACGTTGAGGATTATATTATATTATGTTATAAGAAAACTGTGCGCCGATTGGCCGTTGGGTTAATTGGACGACGCCCACGATACGCCCCCGCTGCCCGTCACTCGGTCGAGAACAGTTGACGAGCGATTTCTCGTTATTTTCAACGTTAAGCGACCCGAGATCGGAGAGGAAATTGGAGATGCAGAGGTGGAAACGCGTCTCCGTTTATCCCCAACGCCGCCACGGTTGCCCTTTTTAATCGATGCCCCGCTGTCCCGTTAATTAATTAACTTTTCCCGAGCGCCACCCACACATCGAGCGCGTCTCCCACGGCGAATCCCTCGGATCGGTGCCTTTGATAAAATCTGCGCACGAACCGGCGCGGTTGTTTCGCTTTTACGGCGACCCGATAATTAGAATGCTCGAACCCGGGACAAAGGCCTTTCGAGAGCCAGGTGACCCGCGAGGGCGCGATCGAGAATTTCTAGGTCAGCTCCGGTGGTCGCGAGATGACGCCGCGCGCCATTTCGCCTGGAGATCTCGCGAGGGCATTTCTTCCCCCCGTGGGCGCTTAGGCGACTTTAGAGTCGGGATCTTTGGAAGCGAAGACTCGAGGGATCCAGGGTCATCGAGATCGAGGGGGAGCTTCCTCTTGCAAGATGGATTACGCGCCAGGCGGAGGTAGACGACTCGGTTTAGCGTGGTTTCTTCCTCGGTCGGACATCGCGCATAACCTAGAAAACCCGTTGGCACGATTCAACCGCGAGAACTCGGACGTCTCTCTCCGACCCGAAAAGAAAAACGACCGAAAGAAGGTTAAACGATCTCGGGGGAAAGGAACCTGCTGGCGGGGAGTCGTGGAAAGGCGGCTGATGGAGTAATTCCAACTTTCTCAGCGACTCGGCCTAACCTCTCGCGGAACCGGCGAGTCTTCCGCGGTCAAATGAGTCTACTCTCGACGATTGATCCTCGAGTCGAGTCCGCGATATCGCGGGCTTTCTCCGGAGGCATCTCCGAGACTCGCGAACGGGACGTCGCCGATCTCGCACCCAAAGTTTTCCCCCAATTTTTTCCCAACTTCCCGTTCGATCTCCAAGACTAACGGAAGTCTCGCGCTCGGCGTTCCCCGGCCCACCCCATCGATTTGTGATGTAACCACCTCCATTGGAGGAACGACCATCCGAGATGACTTATCGCGGCGTATCGACGCGTTTATGGTCGATCGATCGACTCGGCATGAATTATTTATGGGAGGTGCCCGCCGAAACATCTCCACCGTCTCCGTCTTGAATCCCGGCAAGCGTCGCCAGCCCGAAACGCGACAAGTGCCCGAGGACAAGCGGACAAAAGAGGAGAAAAGAGGACAAAGGACCCTCTCCCGGAGTCGATATAATTCCCGCCCGGAGGAAACGTCGAATGCAAATAACCCAGCCTTCGCCCCTTGGCCACGGGGTCGCTCCAGCTGGTCGGCCTCCCCCCCCCCCGTTTTTTCCCTTCCACGGAATACAAATCGGAGATGAAGTCATAAATTCAATTTCCCCGACTCTGGGAAGGGTTCCCATAAATATTCATCTGCTGGCCCTGGGGCGGGGAGGATCCTCTAAGAAGCAACCGCCGCCATTTTCTTCCTCCCCGTTTCGCGGCGCGGGACTAATTGCCCCATTTCTGACCAATTCCTCCGCACCTTTGGGAGGAACTCTGGACAATTATCGAGAAAGGTGGCCGATCGATCGACTCCTCCAAATCGAGTTAGACTCGAATCGGTGAGAGTACTTGGACGTTCCTCCGAAATTAATGCCCGTCCTTCGAAGCCTGCATGCATGCCTTCGCCGTTTTTATCCGCGTTTCCGGAGAGTTCTATTTTTTTTTTACACGTCCATTTCGTGCACTTGGTTCGTTCGCTGACGCGCATGATAGAGGTGTAAATAATTTACCGGGCGTTCCGCGCGCGACGCATCGGAAGTGCAGCGGCCCGACTCGCGATAGCTTCCGCGTGAATTTTAAACAGGGATTTTCGAAATCACAAGTCCCGAGTGGTCCGGGTCGCCGGGTTTGCGTGATTCGCGTTTACACGCCCGCGGAAATTTCGGACCATTTCGCGCGGCGAGCGAGTCGATTAAATCGCGACCTACGGCGAGCGGACGGATTGGCAACGCGACGTGCACTCGGTCGAGCTTTTTCGGACATTTAAAGCGAAAAATATGAAACATCCCGAATAAATGAAAAACGCGAAAAAAGGTCTCGCTCGCATTGTCGGCCGTTGATACGCGCGATCGTCACCGCACCGACGTTACGCGTTATCATTGCCCGGGGACAACCCTGGAGTCGCCTCCGAAGAATTCCAATGTGGCGGCCGGTGTGACTCACATTCTTCTCGCGAGCCCCCGAAGCTGCGAGAGATAACCTCGCTTCTGCTCAATCGATAGCAAATTATCGAGAGACGGCGATAAGCTCCCGAGGACGCGGGAAAAATCTCGCGATTTCGAGGCCTCGACGACGGTCGTTAAGATCAAACGGCACGGGGTCGAGATTCCGATGACGGTGGTCATTACGGTTAAAGTGGAAAAAAAAAAAAATTCAAGAATGTCTACGTTACCGTGAAGCCGATCCCAACGGTGGCGGCGAAGTTTCCCTGCTGGAATTTGCCAGTGTCGAACTGCACCAACAACGACGTCTTCCCGACTCCACTGTCGCCGAGCAGGATCGTCTGGAACGCAGAAAAATGCCAAACGTGGGTAACGGGAAAACGGAGGGTGATCCGTCAAATTTTATTCTCCGTGTCCATAAATTGGCACGCGAGTCTTCTCGTCTATCCGAACGATCGACGCGTCGAGGGAGCGGAGCACCCGAATGCAGGTGCATCCCCTGGGCGACCGCCCCGCGAGTCTCGAGCGAACGATGACTCCGAATGACCCGAGGCCGTCCCGGGACGGGGTCGCAGGTGCAAGTCCGGGAACGACGATGATCACGGCTTTCCCCCGCGTCCCAGCGAATGCTTTAGATAAATCATCCCCTCGATGCCCCTCCCCGTCCTCGCCCTCGTTTCCTTGGTAAATGGAGCCGATCCTTCTCCAGCTTCCGATTTATGGACGAGCCCGGACCAATCGGGCTCAGGAATCCGGGTCCCTGGTCCGATCCCGCGTCCCCCTCCTCCGGGGGGTGATTCGGACATTAGGATATCGATAAAAGGAGGGAACGGATGCGCGAAAAAAGAGGAAAGGAAAGGAAAGGAAAGCGAGCACCGAAGGAGAGGGGAGAAAAAAGGGGAACCAGTCGAGAGCGCGGGAGGAAGAGGAAGGAGAGAAGCTCCTCTCGAAGAAGGGAGAAGGGAAGAGAGAAAATAGTGTCGACGTTGACGAATGTATCGACGTCAGGGGCGGAGATAAGGAATCTCGTCCCTCTTTTTCTCTCGCTCTTTCGCCTCCACCGCGACTCCCTCTCCGTCGCGGCGCTTTGCGCTCCTGCGGGCGACCGGATCACGCCGAGGCATTGTAAGCAGCTGCCAATTAGCACGATGGCTCGGGTCATTAATAAAAGTGGGTGTTCTCACGGCCCGGAGAAAGCGAGGTCCACTTTTTTTTTTCCCCCGGCTCGATCGTCCAATCGTTAAACGAGACTAAACGGTTCTAACCTCCGATCGAAGCCCGGCCTCCGCGTCCCCGCGTATCCGTAACGTATCGGGGCAACATTTCGCCGGCATTATTTCCTGGCTGAGACGAACTCGGAGGAAATTTCCCGATGGAATCGGCGAGTCAAGCTTTCCGCTAAATTCGCGCGTCCTTGGCGCGTCCGTCTCGGTGTGCGTCGACATCGTGGGAAGCGATCCCATCGCGACACCGCTCGCGAGAAAAGCGCGAGACTTAACGGCGTGACGGGAATATCGTCGAGCCGACGTGCGCGCGTATTAAGAACGGTGCCTCGGAAACGCACGGCATATCGCGTTACTCGCGTGTTACGGCGCGGCGGGCTCTCGAATACTTAAAGAAGGCGGTACACGCTTACGGGCTACCGTCTTGTCCGGGGCTCTCAACCGAGCGACGCGTGGAAAAGATCCGACGAATTTCGGATTCGGGAATTCGAAAACTAGAACGTGAAAATGGGATCCGGAGATAACGGAAAACGGGACTTGAAAATAAGAGGACCGCAAATTTCGTGCCCGCGTAAATATCGAAACAACGAGAAATCGGGAGCGAGGGAGGTCGGGTCGATTTCACGAGGGCAATTTTCGAGGGAAGCGCAAAATGGCGGGGCGCCGAATAAATCGTAACTCGAAAAGGGATCGAGGGTCTTCCGGGCGTTTTGCGTGATTTTCAGGGACAACTTCCGGCGGGACCCAGGGGTTCTCGGAGCCGCGCGCCGCGACGCCGCAATGGCGGCCGTAACCTCGAGAGAACGTCGCGACGTATCGCGTTACTCGCGTACGACCGCCGGGACGGTTTGCAGGTTTTATTGCGAATAGCGCAGCGAAACTGCAGAGGCAGCGTCCCGCTACCGAATCCGCGAGCGGTGCTCAATCGGGGCCGGAAAAACGGGGACGGCGAAGGTCGCTCGCCCGTCGGGATTTTTCAAAACGGGGAGCGCCTTAAAGGAGACCGAGAAAATCGGGGAATCGGGGACGGCCGCGTCATCGAAGGATCTTTCAGAAGTCGCGGTCGCGCCCATAATGGCTGGCTTGTCCGGCGACCGATCGCCAGTGGGTCAAGGCGAGACCACGGCCGACGCGGCGACGTCCGCCACCTCTTCGACGCGACCAAAGCGGATTTTCTCGCGTACGAATGGATTCGTCCAAAAAGTGTCGCGTTATCGCGAACGTTGCGTCGTCGGGGAAAATTTGAAATTGATCCGGAACCGTCGATTTCACCGTTCCCGGTTCTCCAGCCTCTCCCGATCCAATCCGGAGGAGGCATTCTTCCTTCCGGAACAACGACCGTCCCGGACTGCCGTTGACCAACGAAAGAGGGGAGTCCGGCTCCGTCCATTACCGCGACATCGCTAACTCAATTTGTATGCGAAGCGGCGACTCGGCCAGATGCTCGCTTAAGGTCGGCCGGTCTCGTCCATACGGCTCATACGCGGAGGATATCTTCGAGCAGCGCGTAAATCGCATTCCCCGGCCGAGCCGCTGTCGGGAGAGGGCTAGATGACTTCGCCCACCCGACTCGCGGTCGGACGAGTTCCTCGTCCCCGTTGGAGAAAGTCGAGGGAAAGGAAGGGCTCGAGGGAGGATAAGGCGTCGTTCCGTGGAACGGTCCTCGCCACGAGGAGGCCCCCGGGCCGCGTCCCTTGGGCCCGACGCCGGACGGCTCGAGAAAGAGGGGAACCGCAGAAAAGGAGCAAACGGACCCGCGAGAAAGGAGAGAATCGCGTCGGGGGCCGTACCGCGCTACCGCGCTACCGCGAAGCCCGGGCATTCCTGATCGTTATTCCACTCGCCGGTCCTGGTCCCGGTTCCCGGGGGGGAGTCGACCTTGGGACGGAAGGGGAGAGCCTGCCTTCCGTGGATCGTTTCAATTCGGAAGCGGATCGCTCCACGTGGGTGGAGTCCCCCGGGACTTGCGAGCGGACCGCCAAAAGCGCGACGTCCCGTCGACGCTCGAATTTAGGGCGCCGCGATGGGACGACGATCGACGAGGTCGACTTGCCCGGCACGTTCCGTGTTACGCACTCGCGTGCGGATTTTACGCAATTCGCGGCCTTGGACCGAAACGCCAAAACGGGCCTCTTCCCCCGATCGGAGCAAAGGCACGCGGGAAAAAAGTCCACGGTCGGGCGTTGATCTTAACTTTATCTCGCAAAAATGGGCCAGCGAGAGATTTTTCAAAGTTGCAATATTTTTCCCCAACGACGACGAACCGCGTACACCCCGTATTCCCGTGTATCGCCCGTCGATATCTTTCCGTGCAACGTAATTTTCGAAGCGCCGGTTACCTTGTGAACGAAGCCATCCTCCTTTTGAAAGTCCGCGTTGCGCTTGGCGAAGTCGGAGACCTCCGTCAGCAGCTCGGCCGGCGGCTTGTAGTCCCTGTAGCCTGTCGGGGATGGCGCCGGCCTCGGTAATTGGTCCGCGGATGCCGGCGTCAGACCCCCGGAGAAGATCGGCTCACGGGGAGGACTCGCGTCCACCTCGAAGACGTCATCGCTCATGTTGTCATCGCCCGTCATGATCTGCGGAAGAAGAACGCCACCGTCAACCGGTTTCGAGATTCGGTCCGTTCTCCCCGGTCGTCGACGCGTCAGAAAAATTCGTCGCTACAGAGGTAAGGACCTTCGTTATCGGTCGTCCCGCGGGATAACGAGTCCGGGTCCTTGACTCGGACGTTCCGCCGATCGTATCGGATTTCTCGGGTGTCCTCGCGACCGCGGGCCATAAATCATGCACGCCCGTCGCCCCGGGACGCGAGGGAGCCGCGACGCGTCCCGGGGGACCGACGACCCCCGCGGGGTGGCAAGCGCCGCGGCGCCAGCGGAAAGCGCAGCGGCGCCGATTGGCCCTTTCCCCTGGAGCGCGCGGCCGCCCTCCATTTCGCCGAGCCCTTCAGACCGCCCCGACGCCGAAGGGGATCGCGGCGGCCTCCAGGGGTGGCCCCACCCCCTAGCCGCCAAACCGTGGCGAACCGACCCCCCACGGGTTGACCAATTAAAATGCACCGGGGAAATACCTCCGACCCCCTTCATTTTTTGCCCGAGACCTAACCCGCGAATCAATTTTTCGGAATTATCGTCGAAGTCGCTTCCATGCCCGAAAACGTGGACTCCGGGACGATTATCGCCGGTTAGGTAAGGTCAAGTTGCCGATCGCCTACGTTACGCGGGGTCCACTTCAGGGGACCGGTGCCGCAGGTAATCCAAGCCGCGGCAATCGGGTCGGACGTGGACGATCGATCCGTCCAGCTCGAAATGACTATTCGGTAACACCTTGCGTTGGGGACTCGAAAGTTCGGACGGATCGAGGACTTGGGCCGGTCGATGGGAGATTTTACGGGGCCAGCGTGGGGTTCAGGGGTCGTCACCCGAGATAGGGCGAGAAGCGGATCGGTCTCCTGGGGTAGACCGGGAAGAAGTACGTCGGTCCGGTATTAATATTCCGCGCTTCCACCGTCGCCACGTCCCCCTTTGTCGGGTGGACAAAGGGGATTAGGCGTGTCGGCGACGGGGAGAGGCCTAATGGACCCTCGCGTCGAGCGAGGCGGAGGCGGGAACGGTGACCATGGTCGAGCTGCCACCGCCACCCCTCATGTTTCCCTGGGGTGGCGGCTTCCCTTCGCGCTGCGACCCCCGGAACCAGACCGGCTCCGAGCGGACCTTTCCCGGGACGGATCCAACGGAAACGAGCTCCGACCGAGGCGAATTTTCGTCCCTTTATCGCGGGGGAATCGGACATGATACATTTTTCCCTTCTTTTCGTTTCACGTTCCATCGAGCTCCGCAATGGGAGAAAATAATTATGGAGGTCCTCCCGAAGGCCATGAATCTCGCGAAATTTGATTTTGCGAAGAACAAACGCGTATTCATTCCGGAGGCACGTTTCTTCCTTCGCGAATCTAGCTTACGGAATGTCTCGGCATCTTCCCCGACGCCCCGGCGTTTCTACATTCAAAACCTTCGGGCATGGCCGAGGCCGAATTCTGGGGATACGAAGTTACCCATGGACCTGGCGAGCCACCGCGTCTCGAGCTCCAGCGGCGCAACAAAGGGACCCGAGCGCCCACCTCGAGGCCTCGTCGGAAGGGAGGAAAGAGGGAAGCGAAACCTGTTATTCTAATAACACGCCCACACGCGGCTTTCCTCCGTTGTCATCTCTCTTCCGTCCGTCAGGCCGGGTGCCCTTCGGCCCCCGCGAGGGGATATCATCCGTGGATCCGGTCGGGTTTCTCCCTCCCGGCAAGGAGGGCAGCGCCTTCTGCCTCTCGCGGTCCCTTTCGCGCTCCTTTGCGCTCCTTTGCGCTCCTTTGCGCCTGGCCCACCCACCGCAACGAACCGACCGCCGCCCACGTCAGCAGCCTCTGCCACCACGGATTCACTTCTTCGCGTACCCCCGCGTCGTCGACGTAACCCGGTCCATTCGGAGGTTTCTCAAGGGGGGGAAAGGAGCAAAACTCGACGAGATGACCGCCATTTTGGTCCCGCTTCGCGCCGACCCGACCGATTCAACGACCGCGCGAACGTCACGGATCGAGGTGCTCCCGGGTGTTTGCAGATCGAAGAAAACTCGGTAGACGGGGAGAGGGCCGGTCCGATTATCCGGGCAAGAGCGGGAGGCTCCTCCCCGGCGCGCCGGCGAAACTCGATTAGGCCGACTCCGAGATCAAGCCGTCCCGGGCGACCGCCTCGCAGGGAGGTCGGAAACTCCGCGGGTAAACGCGGTCGCTCGGGACGGGGAATCGATCGAGCCGTCAGCCCCGCATACCCGGTGGTGGTCGACAAATTTTGAGCACCGACGTTAGCGTCGGAAGTCTCGAGCCCACGTGGCGGCGCGGCGACCTCCGTCGGGAGGAAGTCGGGGCTGCCATCTAGCGGCGGGCGGGAGAGGGTCGCGCCAGCCAGTGACCCGATTCCGTTCCCTCGGAGGCGCGCCCCGATCGACCCTTCCGGGGGGTTCGCAGGTTAGCAGGTGCGGCGCGTCGGGCTTACCGGGAGGTCCGCCGGGTCGGCGGGGGGCGCCCGAGGGTGATCGACCAATCGGGCCGACCCCGGGCGCGCCCGAGGCAGGGGGCGCTCCCTCCGGGTCGGTGGCCGACCAATGAGGGGCGCGCGTCCACCAATCGGCTAGGCGCAACCTTGGGCCGCCGATCCGTCGAACTTGGCGACCCGACTCGAGCCCTGCGTCGCCTAGGTCACGGAGGAGAGAAACCACCTCCGGTCGACGCGGAACTGACGGAACTCGCGACGGGGACCCCCCGCGAAGACTCTTGGCCGCGACGTCGACCCTCCCATTGGCCCGGCCGGCCAGCTGATCGATTCGGCCCTCGGTGACGTCACCGCCGCCCACGCCGCCCATGCCGCCCACCGGTGACGACGCGGCGTCGAATCGATGAGCGCGGGAACCCGACGGAGCGGTCGGCGTCGCGACGCGATAAGCGCGAGAGAGTAGGCCGAGCTCTCCGCATAGGAAAGCCAATGGGCGGTCGTTCGCGAGAGGGCGCCGGTCGAGGAGACGCCGCGCCCCGGCGACCACGTGGCGACGGGGTCGACGGGGTCGACGGGGACTCCGCGGGCCGATAACTCGCGCGGAAACTGGGTCGACGTCGCGCGTAGCCGCGGACTGCGTTCACTCCGAAACGTTCTTCTCCCCGGTCGAGGTAAACTCTTCTTTAAGCGACGACTCGATCCATAATTACCTCTCCGTAATTATCACTCGTCGGCGATCGACGTCGACTCGATCTCTCGGTCCCGCGATTCCGTGACTATCGACGGATCGCTCGTTATCGGAAATGGGAACGATCGCGTGACTCCTGCCGGCGACGCCTGGCACCGATCCCGCTGGCCGAAACCAACTCGGCGGTGCGACGCCGACCTCGAATCGCGATCACCTCCCGCGAAACTTGTCTCGACTTTTGCTTTTTCGGTTAAGGCTTGTCCTCGCCCGCTCGTTCCGTTCCCACCTCCATCTCGACCCGCGATCTATCGCTATCGCGCGCATGCGCCCGGTCGACCGATTAAAGGGAGATGATCCGCGAGAGCACCAACAGGTGTCACATCGAGGAAACGGTCGAAACGCGGGGGCCAAAAGAGTAGAAACGGAGTCTTCTCTTCCTTGGGACGTACGTTGCGCCGGGAGGGCAACGACGAATCGACTGCATACCCGGCGGCCATGTTGGATGTTCGGCACCGGGTCACGTGGCCGTTGCCAGCGCGACCAATGGCGGAAATGCTCGCGCGTTTCCAGCGGCGAAACGATAACGACGGCTCGGTATCGAGCCGCGGTTGCCGGTTCGCCGCGCCAGGGTTGCCGCTTTCCTCCGGGTCTGGGGCGGCGCATACTTCGCTCCAGCGGACTTGTCGCGAATCGCGGCGGCTCGCGCCGCAACCTGAGTTCGCGCGGAGAGGAACGATAATTGGAAGTCGATCGAGTTTGGCGTTCCTGTCGAGCGGTCCAAACGGAGCCAAATCTCGAATCCAGGATGACTTTTCGTCCAGAGTCTAATCGGTCGTATACAATGGCGGCCAGAGTACCGGTTAAACAATTGGCGTCGCGTAAAAATGAGGACGACGTTCGAATCGGAGGTGCAGGGGATGCCGCGCCCGGCAGAGACCTCGCGAGCTCGCTGGCCATCCGGCAAGTCCACTGATGCGTTTACGGCCGATAAAATCACGCGCGAGGGAGGCGGGGGCGGCGGTTTAACGATTCCGGATGCGCGACGCGGCTGCGCGGGAACCGCGCCTCGCCCGCGCCGCGCCAGATGGCGCCTCCGCCTCGCCGCTCGCCGAGCGCCGCGGCCGTCCACCTCCTCGCGCGCGGCGCTCCCGGGAGTGACGTCACGGGGCTTGATTTATTGATTCCCGAAGCAGGTGCATATCGATGCACGATGCGACGATGGGATCGACGAGGAGGCACCGCGGGGGCGATCCGGAGAGAGGGAATCGCGCCGCCATCTTGCATTTCGAAATGCCGATCCCGGCGCGCCCGACTTCGAGGTAACGATCTCCGGGAGTAACCGACGACGCTACGCCCGTGGCATCGATCGATCGATCCTCGATTCTTCTTGTCCTCGGTGAAGCCGATTCAAGGAAGCGACGTCATTCCGAATGCGTCTCCCCGTCGAGTCTCGCTTTTCGGCGACCGGAGTACCTTTCCCGACGAAACGGCACGAATTGAATTTATTCATTTTTCAAGCGATTACGCCGCCGCGACGCCGTTGGAACGGTTATGCGAGGCGGAGAAAGTTTAGGCGAGTGAATGCGGGGAAAAGTTCTTTCGGCGCCGGGGGAAATTAGGTTTGCTTTCTCGTGGCCATTTTATAGCGCGGGAGAAACGCGACGCGGCCGCCATGTTGCTTCGTTAAAAATCAATGCGGGGACGCGCCGCCGATTTACCTCCTCGCGGCTCTCCGGAGGTTCGTCGGGTCTCTTCTCGTGGAATGCGGGAGCCAAGGGGAAAATGACGCGAAAATTGCGAGGAATCGAGCCCTGGAGCGAGCGAGGCGGGAGCGGGCCGGCGAGCCGCC